TCAACCAATATAAAAATACCAAATATGTAATAATAATGAGATAAGATGTGAATATGATAATTAAATTCTAAGTTATCTCTGAAATTTATATAAGTAGATATTAAAACGAAATGAAAATCAATAATCTAATAAAATCAATAATATAATATAAGCAAGTCGAATAATATAATATAAGCTAATCAAATAATATAATATAAGCAAATTGAATAATATCATATAAGAAAATCAGTAGTATAATATAAGCAAATCGAATAATATAATATGAGAAAATCAAATAATATAATATAGGGAAATCAAATAATATTCCAAATAATATTAGAAGCAATGATTACCTTAAATTATTAGAAATAAATTATTAAACGTATTAAAATTCTAATGATTTCCTTTTCCTTTCGTTTTACTTTTCCTTTATAGTTATAAAATTCAGCAATTTGAGACATTTGACTGCACTCTCTGACGATTTGGTAACGACTCCCGCGTCTGCGTCCAAACCGTATCTCTAGGGTAAGGCCCGATGCAAAGGGAAGGGGTAAACAAAACACTCGTCGAGCATTTTATTTCGTGCTATAGTTATTTATGCGAAAATAGGAAAAGATAAATGAAAAAGAAAAATAAAGCTAAGACCTAATATTTTTCGGAGATTCATTAATGCTTAATAATAAATCTTATTATTGCAAAACGATTCATTTAATGTTCAATTCATTTAATGTTTTATGAGAATTCATTTAATGTTTTCGTCAGTTAAATTTTCGTTGCGCAACGAAAGACTCTCCGAGCTAGCCCTTTGTTGGAAAATTTACATTAGGAATATTTTGAGTGCGATAAACCTTCCCTTTAGTATAAATTAAGATCGTCGAACGCTCCTTTGTCTCTTTTATAGTTGCAGCATCGAGAACCGAAGAAAAGGAATGATTCGAGAAAAAGAAAATTGCATTATAAAATTATATTTTCCAAAAGAAAACAATAACAGTAATAAAATAAAATTATCAGTATAAAATAAAATTAATATCTTATCGCAAGACGAAAGGACATGAGTTCTCGCTTTATTATTAATTATCTTAATAATAAAAGTTATATAAAAAAAAGAATATATTTTATATATATAAAATGATAAAATTGTAAAATGATAAAAGTTATGTCTTAATATTTAAAATCACGCATGCGTTAACCTAAGGTACCGCTCGACTGCATCTACATCATTTCGGATGAACGTTCGCAAATTTTAATTTTCTGCAAACGTTACACGTACATAAAGTCTCAGTTCCCCATAAAGCGACTTTTCCAGATACGCAGATTACAAAAACCAATCACAAATTAGTTTAGCATTTCTGTTAGAGAGTACAAAAACTCTACTCAGCAATTGATTGTATTAATTACACATTTCTCGAAATTCCGCGAAATACGCTCTATGTGAAAGAAGGCTTTCAAAATGGCGTAATATGTTTTAGTAAAATATTAGAATACGCAGATTATGCTTACGCAAGTTACGCTGCATGTGACGGCATCCTAAAAGTGAACTAAAAAATGTCATTGAAAAATACGTGATCGATGCCCTGGGAATCGATCATGTAACTTTTCCCCTAGGGCGGAAACGTGAAAAGTGAAAAGTTTCACGTGAACTTACGATCATGTACGATTTTGCGGGATCATAATTCTCTCAAACGTGAAAATGTGAAATTTTTCACGTGAACTTTTTCGCCATATACCTTGGTGGCGAAAAGGCGAAAATCTAGGGAATTAATAAATATGCTTCGGAATTAAAGAAGATTAAGGCTGCGTTAGGATTAAGTACGTAATACATATACAATGGTTATTAAAAGATGGTTATTAAATTGGTTATTAAAAGATGTATATAATACTGTATCAATAAAATAATTTTCATTAGTTATAAAACTTATAAAACTATGTTTCATGATTTCACTTTCCATGCATCCAAGCTACATACATAATCGCTGTACATCAAAAGTTTCACGTGAAATGTCAAGGTATGAAAAATGAAAAGTAACAAATGAAAAATGAAAAGTAAAAAATTTCACGTAAAGTTACATGATTGACCTTCTGTTCTACGATGCGTTTTGTATCAGTGTAGTGGGCCGTAAGAATGAGCCAATCACAATCAAGTATTCTCCCCACATTTGTCTGTGATTGGTCCATTTTTACGGCCCACGACTCACGAAACCGACACACGATGCATTGTAGAATAGGCCTCAAGCAACTATGGATGGGCTTATTTACCGATTTAGTGTCGGTCCACAATAAGTAATTAATCTTTAAGCCATAAAAAATTGACCAATCATAGTCGATTATTCTTTTCATATTCGATTATAATTGGTCAATTTCTTACGTCTTAAAGCTTAAATCACTTATTGTGGACCGACACTTAGAGTCGGTTGTCTTAGAGACACTATAATCAGAGACTCGTCACGAAAAATCAACTTTTGATTGGTCTGCTATCTTTTGGCTATTCTCACTTATTTTCAAATACATTAACTACATTAATCTTAAATTGTAATATTATACTTTAAAAACATAAGCGTTTTAAAGATAATAAAATATGTATATATATGTATATATATATATATGTTTCTTTTTGTGCATATGTGTGCTTGTATGTGAACTACAATATTATTTCTTTAACCTATCACTCTTTTCTTTCTTACTCATGGAGCATCAGGAGAATCACATCAATTCACCATGCAAAGCCTGAATTTATGAATTATGATTTATTGTGAAGGCATGTACATTTCACAGATCATGGTTAATAATAATAATGATAATAATTTCTAAAAATTATTTATAATGACAGCAACATCCGAAAACTGGAAAGTGCAACGCAGCATTTTAAAAATATGCCTTTAGGAAATTTTTTTAACAAAAAAAAAGAATAAAATAAATTATATTCATTAATTTGTGTTATTTTTTTATAAAATCATTAATTTCTTAACTATATTCCTATTAAATTCTTACAATTATAAAGCGCTATTTAAAAAAAAAGTAATTGATCATTGATATTTTTTGTGAATAATCGATTAATTAACATCAGTCTATTCAAACAAATCGATTAACTTAACATCGATTTTTTTTTCATACATCGTCCATCAATCTCTATAAGCAGCCATTATCTACGCCGTTTAGTTGTTTAGTTACAGGCTGCGTTCCGATATTCACTGCCAGTACTGAAAATATATAATTCAGGTTACGTATATTAAATTTTCAGTATTTACAGTGAATATCGGAACGCAGCCACAGTAGCGCAACTCTCCGTTGGTGCCTTTCATATTTGCATATGTTAAAATGAACTGCGTATGTATGAGCGAGATATGTAACTAATCAGAGCAGAATATTCCACTTTATTTCCTCTTTTTATTAATTTTTCTCTTTCTTATTATAATATTTCTCTTTCTAACTTGTACATACACAGTATAGGCATAGAATAGAAATGTACATAGGCGCATGAAATTTATTTCTTGGTATTTCTTTCATTATATATTCTTCAATGAAATATACATACAGAAATAAAATTAAATTTTAAATATAAAAAAATAATTTTAAATAAATTTTATATAAATAAGAAGGGAGGGTGTGCGTCACGACGGGGCCCGACCACGAACCAGTCGTGAAAACTCGTAATTATTTTGCGAAAAAATACCACCTCAGCCAGGAATCGAACCTGGATCTCCTCCTGCTTACCGGACAGGCTCTTATTCTTTCGACTATCGATGTGATGATATTTATCGCAATAACGTGTTTAGAACAACAAGTCAATACAATGACATACACACATAACTTACAATATAATACATATACATGTGTGTGTGTGTGTGTGTGTGTGTGTGTGTGTGTGTGTGTGTGTGATTTTCTCGAATCCCCACGACCGGTACTCCAGAGAGATGATAATCCATATAATAAAATTTGTATTGCTATATTATATTATGTATTGTCGTATTATACAAAAAAATTATACATGACTTTCTAAAAATAAAAGTTAATTAATGAAGTTAATAACAATTAGCAATTTACATCTGAAACAAAAAAAAGTTATAAATTATTTTAAAAAACATACATATAAATTTATTATATAAAACTATAATTTATTATATGATAATGTATATGCAAATATACAAATTAAAAAAATAAAAAGAAAAAATACATTAGATAAAACAATATGTTAAACACATTGTAAATATATAAATAGTATATTAATTGTTAATAAATTTAAAAAAAAATATTGTTGGTGTATCTTCATCAATGTTAACTCTATAAAATATATAAAACAAGTATTATGTTATGTAAATAATGAATGAATGAAATAAGTAAATAATGAATAGAAATAAAAAGTTCATAAATCATAGACTTACACAAAACATATAGATTTAAAAAATGAAGAAACAAATATTGACAAACAATACATAGGTATAAGCCGAGTACATGTTAACAAACTACAACGAGAAATTTGGCTATTTTTCGGCAAGCAGGATCTTTGGTTGCTAGATTTTTCTAAATGAAATAAATTTAAACAGTCATGGGATAATAAAAAAGGGGATTTTAATTGATATCAAAAATATTGATTATCGAATTGTTATAGAACTACTACGTTGGAAGACCACTTGTAATGGCGCGTAGTTGGTGATATGACTGTTTGAATTTATTTACAAAAATCTAGCAACCAAAGGGTGAGATCCAATCGGACACATTGCCGATTGGTCGATTAAATAAAAAAATTTTTTATAGGTGGCTCACTAGAAAATTCCTAGGCATCGGCTGATGTAAATGGCTGATGTAAATGTGTCCGATTGAAAATGTGCACATCTGGGACGCTTTCCAATCAAAGATCTTGCTTGCCGAAATTGACAAATATTAATATAATTTAAAGTATGTCATATTAAAAGATATAATAATACAATAAACATGAAATTTAAGTGCAAATGCAATGTTAAACAAATTGTAAATAAGATGCCTTAACTTCTAATATTCATAAATTAATGTTTTATTTATTTTTTTTCATACAATTCATCAATCGTTAGTTCGTACCTTAGCTAGTTGATTCATCTCGATATGAACTAAGGAAAGAGCAGTAAAAAAGAAATTTAACAATTAAAGTTAAAATTTAATTTTTTTATAACACCTACGAGATGTATGTTCCTGCCACTCTTCGTTGAATGTTAAATGCTTGTATAGGCATCTCATGCTAACAAACGGAGAAATTATAGAGAAGAAATGAGACGGGACATCCGTGCCCTAATTGGTTACATACCTCGCTCGCGCATGTGCAGTTCATTTTTACATACGCTAAAATCGGGAGAGTTGCGCTACTGTATATACTGTGGTTCGGTATCCAGCACATAGTGACGGGCACATGTCCGCGCAGTTATATCGAATATGTGTATGCGGTATCACGTATTGTTCGATATAGCACGTTCGATATCGCACGCGTATTCGAGTTTATGCGCGCTTGGTGCACGCTTTTATATATTTTCAATTTTACACTTCCGGTTATGTTTATCAATATCGTTGATAAGTACAACTATTGAATAAAAATTTTAAATTTACTTTAGCGATCGTACACTTTATATCCTTAAAAGTTTTCGGTTTCTACAATTTACAAGACAAACAATTTTCATTAGAAATAGGAATATCTTAGAAGGAAATTATGTTTTTATAAATATGAATCTACTTGGAACTTGGAAGCGTTTTGATTGACCAAAGAATTTTGTCAAAACAAAAAATTTTATAAATTGATCAATCAAAAAGTCGAATACTTCGAAGCATTTATAGCATCAAGTGGATCGCATTCTATGGATCATCTTGGATTTGTACGTATTTGAATCGTACGACGCACCGTCATAGAAAAACAGTTGCGTTTTTATAAATTAAATCTTCACTCTTGAGATTCTTTAAATTGAAGATTTATATTTAAAATTTGATTTATATTTGAAATTCGCGAACTAAACACTTCCATCTTTCCGTCGCTTCATTGAGCATGAGGTAAACGAAGAGAAAATGAAAAAAAGGATAGACGATCGAATCTACTGTGCCGCATCGCTTATTTGCGCTTGCTTATACTTAATTATTTAATTCAAATACGCTGCAGCGAAAGAGATACTATTAATAAGGATAATTACTGCATATTCAGTATACTTAATTACGAATGAAATAAGGGTGATATATTGGTATTGTTAGGTTGCATAGACACCTTAATAATTATGCTTTCGAAAAATGTCAAGACAACGTTATTGTGCGGCTCAAGAAATCTAACAAGTAAATCTTTCATGTTTGAGGTACGTAATCTTCAAACATGTTATAATAAGTATTAAATTATCAATCAACATCAATATCACTTGTTACATATCATTTGTCAACATCTATTTCGATATAAAATATCCGCTATTGTCCACTTCCAAAAATAAACTTTTCCAGTAAACTTTTCTTATGTAGGTTGCAACGTATTGGGCGGAGAAAGGACAACGTGTCGTTTATGTTACTCCAATGCCTTTGGAAAAACGACCGGCGGCTTGTCACGACAGAGGAAATCCATCAGGCGCGGCTCTGAAATTAATGACATTTATGTAAGATTTATGTAATATTTTTTTATACCGAATGTCCCATTCGTCATCGATCATACCATTGTACTTTTTCAAAATTTTGATACACCTTGGATGAGTCATTTTAAAATGAAACAATTTAAACAGATTTATTTGCAACTATATTGTATTCAAGATTCATGAGTCATTGAAACTATTATATCTACATCCTACATATTTCACCAAGTATAGCAACGTCTTAGTATTTATTTACACAGGTATTTGTCGGATTATGAAACACTCGTAGAGCAACTTGTTAAACTGCACACTTATGCAGCTGTACCTTCCGTGCTTTTGATAGACGACTTGGACAATTATTTCAATGACAAAGCTGCGAATGATTCTATTACGCATATCGCCAAAACTTGCTCTTTGATACTTCACTCGATGAAGTTGTGTTCACGAATTTTGAAAAGAAACGTAAGAGAAAAACTATATGTACAATAAAAACAAAATTCTGCCTTTATATAGGAAATCTCTCTCCCCCTTCCCTTCTCTCTTCTTTTCTTCACTCGTTTTTCCTTCTTCCCTCACTCTCTTTCAAAATTTATATTTAATACATTTCACATTTCGTGAGGCATATAAAAATGATCTTTTTCACTCAAACTTTTTGTTAAAATTATTATTTTTTTTCGATACCTCTGATCTTTACATTTTTGTATTATGTATAGGTATACGTGTGTGCATGGACCAATTCGATTCTCACCAATAACTTTATTCAAACAATGTACTTTCGTAATATTTGGAATTTGACGGAAGAGGAAAATGGAAAAGTGATATTACTGGAAAAATTTTCTATTGGATCATCGTTAGAACAATCGTATAAATATCATATATTTGAAGACGGAATGCGTGTTCTTCAACAGATACTATGCGATTCAGTGGAAGGTTAATGATATTTTTGTAAATATCATTCTTATCTCGTCATTATCATTATTATCGTTCTTCTTTCTATTTTTTAGATAGTGTAAAAATGCAATAAAAAAATTTTTTTAGAAAATGTGTGTAAAATTAACTGTAAATTATTATTACGCGCGACTGATTTTTGTACCGATGTGTATATAGAAATATATATCTTTCGGGATCGAAGTGAATAAAAGAGAGAAAGAAAAAAGAGAAGGGAAAAAGGAACTGAAAGAAAGAAATAAAGAATCAGCAAAGAATCTAGGGGAGAAGGATAGAAAGGGAGAAGAAAAAAAAGAAAGAAGAAACTCTGTACGTGTGCGCGCGCGCAAATCGCAGGTATGCGTCAACTATTGCATACCTGAATGAACAGGTGTGAGTCGATCAGGCTACTCGTTCACTTGCAATAAGTAATTTTGAGACAGAATGCTGCTAAAACCGATCCAAGTGTCATATCAAGTGTATTTCTCTCTTAATCTGACAATCTTTACATCCATGATATTTATAGACATAAATGTTTTGTAATAAAAATAAAAAGGCCAATTTTTTTCTTATTAATGAAATGTTAGTATAATGCAAATTGCGATCTATTTGCGTAAAATTAATATGTGTAATGCCTATTTCGAGAGTTATCCAACTATCTCGTGTATGTGTCAAAAAGTTTGTCTACAATTATTTGTGATTCGATTCGCAGTACCTGCTCGTCTAGTGAGAGCTAATAAATTTTATATCCCGAAGTTGTTCGTACGTTCATATTCGATGTATCGACGTGTACGAGACACGTGCAAAGTGTTTCATCTGATTATTACTGTGTGAAATGTATATGCGGATGATCGTAAGATCAAGGAGAAAGTGAAAAGAACAGAAAGAAAAGAGTGGATAGATGCAATAGAATGTTCATGTGTACATTATTGTTGAAGGGACAAGGATAATTAATGGATTTTGATCGATGAGTCGCCGAGACTGCGTCAACAATATTCAATAACATGGTGTAACCAATCGAATTCGTTTTCTCTTTGCTCTATGTCACGCATCTCTTTTTTCGCGTATAAGTAAATACTCTGTACGTCTATCCGATTAGGTTATCGATAAAAATCTCGGAACATGTCCGATCCTGTTAAGTCCTGTTCGATCTTGTTCAAAGTTCGATCTCTGTTCGTCCTCGCTTTAAGGACATTGAAATATAAAATATCGATTCTCAATTAAAAATATTAATAATGTAACATAAATAATATAATGCACATTCATATGAATATAAAATATCTTAAAATTTATCATATCTGTGTTTGGCCTTTCGATAAAATTCTTTTAAATTTCATTACTACATTAACCTCATGTTATTGTTATGCTTTTTAATTATCTATTTTCTTATAAATATTTTTAAATTTGATACATACTCATT